TTAAAGAATGAAGAATGACATCAACGCACAAATCAGTATGGCTATATGTAATAAGCGTGCTGCATAGCTTCGACGTCTGTGTTAATCTTGAAGAACTCATTTGGATTGCAACTCTAACTAGACAAAATAATGTCGATGACATATTAGATGTATGCTGATATGCATTGAATAATTAAGAATACTTTTTGCAATATTATCATTTTAGAATGCTTTGAATTGCCAAACATCAAACGAATACCATAATTTCGCATAATGTCGTAGAATAATTAGTACTAACAAAGTATGGCTCAGATAAACGTTATTAATCTTTCTTCTACAATCCTAATATCTTTCGTCAATATAAAGTATAGACATTATATTTTATTGTGAAATATAACTGTATAACTGTTTTGTTAATTTATCTGGCATAATAATCGAAGCATATTTATGAGACAAGGTTCGAGTAGAAGACTTTCACGAGTTCGGGTCTTGAAGCTTGAAAAATTTGTGAAGCGTCTATGTTAAAGTGAGTTGTATTTTCCCTGGCTTCAACTTCGCTGAAAGAATTTTTCGCTGATGACAACATTCGCTAATGCCGATTTCTTCGAATGAAATCATAATCGAAAACTATTGGATCAAATATAATTCATTCTGTGGTATGTGTTATTATAAATTAACTAATGTATTGCCAAAGCAATTAATTATCAGTGAGTTAGTAACTAACGCGCTTGGTAACCAACTGAATCAGTGAAGATTTGAGTTGATGACTAATTCAGTTATTAGCAACGTCAGATGACACTCAACTTAGATGGTTGCTAACAGAGATCACAAGAAGTGCAGACGCGGGTGTCAATCGAATGCAATTATAGGTATGAGTGGAAGTGAAGTACGAGTTTATGTAAGCTCTGGATTTCCAGTTCGTTTGTACTACACCCACACTCAGATGATCATAAAACTCAGATAGTGATTGACTCTTTCAGTAGTAGACTAATAAAATATCATCAAAATTTACACATAAAAAGGGTTTCGTTTAGGAATACACCGGTTCCAGTTTTAAAGTGGTAGACTAGTCCCAGTCCCTAGTTAGAACTGAAACTTGTGCGTTTCACCAAAAAGATAGTAATGCGTAAAATTGTGAGCACTAACCGTGTGAACATGTGCAAGGCTGAAACTGGTAAGCGAAATAAAGTTTTCAACAATTATCAGGTTTGTAATTACAATGAGTTAATCCAATAAAGAGGCTTTAGAAAAAAGTACAATACTGGTAAATTATCTATACTACAAAAGAGTGTGAGTGTAGAGAAAGGGGGTGAGGGTGGGGTGTGAATATTAGTGGATCTAGGTGTGCCTAAAGAACTGATCCACTCTTACTTCCACGCTCACACCCGCACCCACAGTTTACCACAAACTATCCTATACCCGCACTCACCTACACTCCATATTCACAACCATCCCCTACCCCACAGCCACAGCCAAACCCACACCCACCATACAACATACAGCCACATTCACATTCACCACACGCGCTGTACACTCACATCCACACCCAGAAAAAAAAACAAGTAACTCTTGATGCCAATCGTCGAATTTTCAGAGCATCTATTACTTTTGCCCTTTTCACAACTTGTTATAAGCTTTGTCGATTAAACGCACCTTTCTTCTAACTGCACAAATATTTGCGAAAAAAAAAGCCTAACAATAAAGATAATAATATTTTATTGCCATATCTCTTTCGTCGGTGATAAATTTTATCGTTGCTTTCTTCAAGCTCGCCTCTTCAATGATAAAGTAATCTATATAAGGAGACGACTCCTGCTGCATTTTCGGCGATTTTTCACTTCTATAAGATTTCAATTCAACTGCTATACGCGCTCAAGTCTACAACGCAACAACAGGTAAGGAATCAATCAGAAAAGAGGAAATCAAGAATCTGTGTATCAGGGGCATCTGGATGTATGTAGGTGTAGGAGTGACGGCCTCAGTGTTGATGACAGTGAAGGGAACACTCGTAATCGTAACTCAGCACCGATCCCACAGTCACACTCAGACATCCAAAAGCACAACCATGGGTGTGGATGCTAGTCTTGACTCAACATACACCAGCACCCAAATCCTCATAGCCACAGCCACATCCAATGAGAACGAGGCTTGATATCTCTTTTTCAACCACTCATCCGAATCTACAACGTTGTCAAACACTCCTCATAGTTTTTGAATAGATAGACGAGTATCAGTTGATTCTTCTATAGAAGCCAAACTTTATTTTAACATGGTTTTTAAATATTTAAAATAACGAAAAATTGCGTTCAAATTGAAATATACTCTATGTTTAAGTTTCAATCTTGCTTTCCATGATACACTTGTAACGAGAATTTTTGTTTTTATTGTTCTATTTCAGAGTAACAGTACTCGAATCAATGCTAGTAATTTATCAGAAATATAAAGCCAATATGCTGCGTATTCAGATATCCATATCTATTACAATATCTTCATATTCTGTATGCCTTCATTTATCTATAGTAAGAGATGTATCCCTGAGAATTTTAGACAGGCATCGATAACAATCGATCAAAGTTTTCGAGCATCTGTGGAGTTCATTTGTATATCCTTCAGCGAATCATAACTAACACTGTGTGATTCAGGGACTTTATCGTACATCGATACTCACAATAAAATTGTTTTAGTTTCAATCGAATTCGGGTCATATATAGTCAGGTTATGGAATTATGAAAGCGGGAATTTTCAACTCATAAAGTCTTTACCTTCGTAGGTTATCAAGTTCGTAGTGGAACAGAACCGCTCATATTGTTTCCCTGCTGTACGCAGTCGAATAGCGACACGGTTTTGTAAGCATCATATATGATTCATACGATTGGAAATGCAGTGAACGAAGAGAATGAAGAAAAAGACAACCTTCGTGGGACTCGAGCCCACATCTTCTGCTATCGGGGCAAATGTCCTAAGCCAATTAAACCAGAAAGCGTGTCTTAATCTTGGTTTAGCATCGCAGTGTATCATCATTGACGCTAACAGGTTTTTGTTGCTGATCTAGATTTATTGGATGGAATGTGAGTGTGAGTAAGGGTTAAGAGAAGAGCCATATCGACGCTGCGTCGTTCAAAAAAGAACATAAGAGAGATAAAAAATTAAAAGGGAATGGTATATTTGTTTACTTTAAATGACTCGAGAGAGAAAAACTATACTACTGTAGTGAATATATTGACTGCTGAGCCAGTTTTGTGAAACTCACATATTTTTCGAAGGAAATGGTGAGTATAAGTTTAAGAGCGAGTTTTCGTGGCTCCTACTCCCGCTAGACCCCTCTCCATTACAGACCATAGCAATGAAGAATAACAGGCGTCACATTTTTTAGATTTTGTTGCAAAACTGATCAAGTTATAATCTTGAAAAATAATAAATATTACTATTTGTGAGTTGATTAACATAAATAATAGTGCTTGAGACCTGCTGTAGATATCATGAACATGTAAAACAGACATATTTGTCAATTAATTCAATGATTATAATAATAAGAATGTTAAATTAAGAAAAAATGAATTTAAAAAAATGAAAATTCTTTTTGAAATGCAGAAATTAGAGAAGTCGTTACTCTGAATATCAATTATCCTGCAAGCACCTATAATCCACAAGAGATTTATCACTTTATGTGTTGCGTATTAGTTTAATTAGGCTAGATGGTATATATGAGTTCTATATTTCAGCCTCAGAGGAGTTGCGCTAACAAGCTTTTTCATGAAATAAAAGTAACAAAAATGGCTTTGATAAAAGCTAGGAATCTTGATACTCATCTTGTTACCGGCATATTGTCATTTTCAGGCATTAATACAGGACTTGTTGTCACTTTCAATCGCTTGGTTTCAAATTTCAGACATTTTGAAACTTGGGGACACGATATTAATACTTTGATCAGACTATAGATAATGATATAAGAATATTTAGCTGGGCAAAGCGAGTACGGAGAATGTTGATGACATCATGTGGGTATAAAGCATATTTTTAACAAGGTTAGAATATGCAATTTCTGTAGGGATTACCGAATATGGGAATCTACATTTTCTACTCTTGAAGAATAATGGTTCGTTTCATTCCGCTCCTTAATGTGCAGCCAACGAATCATTTCCCATATCTAGTACTTCTAATATCCTATCTTCAGTGCAACTCATCCTTTCAGTAGAGGGTTAGCAGCGTTCGCGCTGCGTTACTTGTGTCATTAACCACTCAAAGTGAAAATTAACTTTCGAATTTGTTAATTCACAATTCTTATAGGGTGTGGGTGTGGATGTAGATCAAATAATATACCCACACCCACACCCACACCTCACATCCACACCCCACACCCACACTCACACCCAGACCCACACCCCACATCCACACCCCACATCCACACCCCACACCCACACTCACACCCACACCCACACGCCACATCCACACCCCACACCCACACCCACACCAACCCTATTCCTGGTCACGCGTGCGCGAAATTTTTGCAGCTGGTGCGCTTCGGCGAGCCAAACGTGTTCAAGAAGGCCAATTTATTTTCTCGTTTAAAAAAAACAGTTACATTTTCTTTTTCAGAAGTTCAATGTTGCTTTCCGTAAGTGCAGTACTTGGATGTCCGGGAGGAAGAACAATTTTCTTGATTTGTAGTGCTTTTTCGTAATATGAAAGTGTTTTCGAGTACTCGCCCATGTGAGAATACACTGAACCGATGTTGCCGTAGGAAGAAGCCAAGTCGGGATGGTTCGGAGGGAGAGCAATTTTTTGCATTTCAAGTGATCGTTCGTACGATAAAAATGCTTTCGAGTACTCGCCCATGTTATAATACACTGAACCGATGTTGCCGTAGGAAGAAGCCAAGTCGGGATGATTCGGAGGGAGAGCAGTTTTTCGGATTCCAAGTGATCGTTCATATAATGAAAGTGCTTTCGAGTACTCGCCCATATTAGAATACACCGTACCAAGCAGAAAATTATAATTTGATCGTTGTTTATCAGAAGTGGCTTTTTCGAGGAGTATCAGATAGAGATGTTCTGCTTTTTCAGATTCGCCAAGTTTAATAAGTATATGGCCAAATCGAGCCCATCCTGCCACGCAAGTGGACTCTTTTCGCAGATGTGCTGTAAGTTTGTTAAAGTCATCATCTTGATTACCGACGATGGTGAGATTAACTTGCCATAAGCGATCAGTATTCCTATCTTTAATTTGTTCAATGCGATCGATTCGAAAAATTGTATGGGTTGAAAAAAGTATTTCTTCCTCGTCACCTTTGTAGTAGCCAACTTGGCCTACTTCGACAAATGGTGTCGATAATTTTGTGCAAACAGCCGTGTCAATATTCATGACGAAGAAAATTCCAACCGAATTGGGATTTTGTGTAGCTGGTTGTGCAAAATTTTCTAGTGAAATCTCGAGGTTACGACTTGTTGACAGGAAATTATTAAAGGACATAAGTCCTCCTTTGGTTTTTTTCATCTTTTCAAAGTCTTCAATGGACAAACCTTGTCCACGAAAGACTTGAAAATTTGTTGGTATGTTGCCTTGTTGTTCCTGATGTAATTCTGTAATATGCTGATGTAGATGACGGATGAAGAAACCCATCTTCAGGATAATATCGACATTCATTTGTCGAATATCACAATTGAGCATTGAGTAGATAAAATATGGACCTGTGTACCACCAAATAGGTGTATGATTACGATATTCTTCTTCGATCTTTTTAAGTGTTTTTCCGGAAGCATCACTTTCAAGACGACAATATTCAACGAGTTCTTTAATCGATTACGCATCGTCATTTTCTATATCCAAAAATGCTTCTTTTAGCAATTGCGTATACATAAATAACGCATCAGTACCACTAAAACTGATCGATATCGAAGCTCTATCACAATTTTCACGATCGATTCGTAATGCTTCACAAATCGAGCCAATGTGTGTGTATATACCTTTTACTTTAGCAATTGTTTTGGCCCATCGTTCATGAATCAATTGGTTATCATAGAAAATATAAATTGAGACTAACTGTGGACATTCTTGAATTATCGGTATTATACGTTGTGCCAGGGCACCTGATACGATCATAGATACTTTTTCGTTTTCAATATCAGTGAGAAAATCAATGGATTCATCAACGTCTGTAAACAATGCGACCGTTGCGACTATATGCTGCAGATGTTCGATTGTTTTTTTATAATCGTCTTTGGATTCATCGAAATCGGCATCAAGCCAGACCAAAAGAAAATTTTGAAGCATCCAACGAACGGGGCGTGGCTCTGTGATATTTCTACTCACCACTGTCATTGCTGCTGCTGTTGCTGAGGATGTCTTATTGGATTTACTTGTGGTAAACGACGATGAGTCACTAGCATTTGATTTCAAATTTTTCTTGTCCATTTCGCTGATAATGACAATGATGATGATGACCTTTTGATTTTCTTGTTCAATTTACGTAAATGAGTGGAAACGTGGATATTTGTTGCACACTGTAAAATATCAAAGCAACGAAAATATTTCGATTTTTTCTTCCTTTTTATGTTGACACTTTCGTTTTTGTTTGGCTGGTTGTTATAAACTTCAAGGACTTCTTCTCTTGATTATTCTTTCTTTTATTTCAAAAGTGTTGCTGGCTAAATGTAATAGGCAAAATCTATGTACATACTTCAGATATGAAATAAGAAAGAATAAGAATGACACATGCAAAAAAGAATTGCATTATAGTCATAAATAATAGAGAAGAAAAAAAAGAACTTCTAAATAGGATTTAAACATATTTTTATTCTTTCCTACTGGTGTTTCTTTCGGTTGCCTTGGACTTCAATACGAAAGGGCGATGGATGGCACTGTCTTATTAGTCGATGACGGCTTCTAATGTTGCTAATAGGCTGTGAGTATGGATGTGGGTGGGTGTTTGTGTATAGAAGTAACCTTTGCTTGGAACTACACTCACACCCACCATCCCAAGAGGCGAGGGCCGATAAGGCCATTTTTCTGTCCCCAACAAAATGAACTTTTTCTTATCGATTTGAAGTAAGACTTGACTCCTGATGATGTTCCATAGGTTTTTTGTCGTATAGCTCATCAAAAGGTTTTTGGGACCTGTGGTCTCTCACGGGGATCTCTGAAAAACTTTTCATCTTTGATTTCATTTCAACACATATTTAGTGATAGAGTCAAGTGTGCTGATTACGAATATCAATATATCAAGTGCTGAAAGATTTTTAGTAAAAAAACAATCAGTCCTTTTTGAGGTGCTTGCTTGGCTTTAAACCTAGGTTTTTGGCTCTGTATCTCCTTCACTCATTATTTTAACCTAATGAAAAAACATTCATAATAGTTAAAACGATGCGATCTTGTCGAATATGAACTATAAAATATCTTTCAGTGCGTCATCGGCTACAAAACCTGGGATTACCAGTCAAAAATCTGCTTTTTCTGTAAGTTCTACAGAGATTAGGGTTTCCAAATCTTTTCATAGCAGGTTAGAACCAATGTGAAATTTTGACTGAATACCTAATTTTGGACACTCTATCTGATGGTGAATTCAAAAAGCCGAAAAAAGGTTCTTCAAGGTTTTTAATGGTTTTCTGGAAAACCCTTTTGAGATCTCAAGGGATTCAATAGAAACCGACTTCACCATCTTGTTCAGCATATCAAATAAGCTATTGCATAATTTGTAAACCTTGTAGAAATATTGAGATAACTGGTCTTTTAATGTCTTTATTCCTTTCGATTTGGTGGCATCATCTAAAGGACTAATTATAGAGATGTATGTCCTGATTCGGCATATTAGAAGTATTTGGAGTACCAAAGAACTACGTGCAGAGGTTATTTGATGTGCTGAACAAGATGGTGAAGTCGGTTTCTATTGAATCCCTTGAGATCTCAAAAGGGTTTTCCAGAAAACCATTAAAAACCTTGAAGAACCTTTTTTCGGCTTTTTGAATTCACCATCAGATAGAGTGTCCAAAATTAGGTATTCAGTCAAAATTTCACATTGGTTCTAACCTGCTATGAAAAGATTTGGAAACCCTAATCTCTGTAGAACTTACAGAAAAAGCAGATTTTTGACTGGTAATCCCAGGTTTTGTAGCCGATGACGCACTGAAAGATATTTTATAGTTCATATTCGACAAGATCGCATCGTTTTAACTATTATGAATGTTTTTTCATTAGGTTAAAATAATGAGTGAAGGAGATACAGAGCCAAAAACCTAGGTTTAAAGCCAAGCAAGCACCTCAAAAAGGGCTGATTGTTTTTTTACTAAAAATCTTTCAGCACTTGATATATTGATATTCGTAATCAGCACACTTGACTCTATCACTAAATATGTGTTGAAATGAAATCAAAGATGAAAAGTTTTTCAGAGATCCCCGTGAGAGACCACAGGTCCCAAAAACCTTTTGATGAGCTATACGACAAAAAACCTATGGAACATCATCAGGAGTCAAGTCTTACTTCAAATCGATAAGAAAAAGTTCATTTTGTTGGGGACAGAAAAATGGCCTTATCGGCCCTCGCCCTTTAGATCATCGTGGATCTTCTCTTCATTTGCATGCACACATCGATTTTCAGAGCATCCCAAGTAGGCATGCACCGAACCCGAACTCGAGTTCGGAGTTCGGACCGAACGGTTCGGGTTCGGTCTCAGGGTTCGGGTTCGGTCGGGTTCGGTCTCAGGGTTCGGGTTCGAGTTCCGGTTCGGGTTGGGTTTGAGATTTCTGCATTAGGAACGTGAATTGATTGTTATTGTTATTAATAACAATATCTCTCTTTGTTATTTGTTATAAATAACACAAAAATAGCAAGTACCTTTTTTTCTGAAGAACCTCCAACCATGGATGGAAAGTTACCGTTACATTACCAGTTACCATGGAATAGGGATAACAGTCAGGTATGTATCTCTCGTCACCAAACTCGTAGTCTTGGATCCTCAAGTTCGATTATTCGAGAGCACCCATGGAGCCTTAATTTCTTTTATTCGGCCGTACCCTGGATCCTCAAGTTCCATTATCCGTGGGCATTCATGGGTCCTCAAGTCCTACTGTTGTGGGTATTCTTAGCTCCCCAAGATCTACTATAGAGGAGTACCCTAAGGTCATTAAGTCCTACTATTGGGGGTACTCTGGGGTCCTCACGTCTTACTATAGAGAGATACCTTTAGGTCCTCAAGTTCTACTATTGAGGATATCCTTGAGTTCTCAAGTCGTACTATAGAGAAGGTATCCTTAGTTCCTCAAGTCTTACTATTAGGGGCACCCTTGGGTCCTGAAGTCTTACCATAGTAGAATACTTTAGGCCCTGAACTAATATTGCGCGGCAATCTGAGACTCTCAATCAGTACACTCGATTCCCTTAAATGATCGATATCTGCCAAATGCGAAGGGAAACTGCTAGCTGCTCAATCACTACTGCAAAAAAACTGCTGTGGGAGGTTGAGGACACCACATTGTGCATATGTTGACAGGATAGTGGAAGTCACCTAGCAATTGGTGCTCTACGTGACTTTTTCGCGGGGTATGAGTGTCATGAGCCTGTACTGGTTAAGTGTGTCTAGCTCGTGGCGAGTGTTGCGGCATTACTGATAGCACCAGAGGACAGTTGTTTTGACAGCTCGGCTCAGATTAGGCAGCTGTATGCCAGAGCTAAACAGAGGAAGTTATTTGTACCTATCGCAGTAATGAGAGTGATGTCTTATGATAATTTTAAACAGGATGAATGTGGCTTTCTGGCTCGACACTTCCAGCTGACTTGCAAGCAGGAATGTAAAACAAGAAACAGGAAGCACCACCGGTTTTGTGTGAGGGAGAGAATCATGTTTCGCATGAGAATAATGCTTGAAAATGGACTATATAAGTTGTCAATAAGTAGCTGCAGTTTCTCAATATCTGCGTTTCTTCGGTTGACGAAAATGATTTCCTATTATTGAGCAAGAAGGGTTAAACGTACTTTTGTACTTGATGGTATTTTCTCGTTTTTGTTGGATATATTTGGTTTATACTCAGAGTTCTTCATTCTTTGTTCTTCCTCATATTTTTCTTTACTGCTAAACGCATTTAAAGTTTTGTGGAACTCACGTATATTTTCGAAGAAAATGGTGAGTGTAAGTTTTAAGTTTGAGATTTGGCGGCTCCTCCTCCCTTCCCCACCCTCCGTCTATTACAGACATTTAGCAACGGAGAAAGAGAACATTACAGACATATCCCCCATTACACACAGGTCACCATTACAGACCTCAGCAACCGCGCATAGAAGGTTTTAGATTCTATATAATATATCAATGCTTTTATAAATATTCGAAAAAAAGCTATTTTGAAGGTTAAAAATCTGGCATCAGGATAACCAGTTTAAAAGATGTATGTGAGTTTCACATTTCAGCTGCAAAGAAGCTGCGCTGACAAGCTTTTTTTAACCTTTTTTTACTGCATGTGGTTATTAGTGTTATACCATCAGTTTTTGATGGATATAGTTTAATAACGCTTTAAGCATACACATGATCGATAATTTCATATATTCTTTGAATAATGAAAAGAATACCTCCAAGAGGCACATCTTGGAAAGGGAAATCTGATTATAAGGAAAACAAAAATATTTGAACAATGCG